GCAGGTGCTCCCAGGAGTCTATACTCACAAGCTGGGCTCTGCCTGCTATTTGGGACTATAGGAGTCCAACCCCTCCATAGTCTCCTCCAAGGCTCCAGGAAGAATTTATAACCAGCTGATATTTTAATCTTTGATGAAATGAAATGAATCTGTGTACACAAAACTCCTTAGTCCATACATTTTATTATTGTGTAGTTCTCTCTCGATACAGCTTCTAGTCTGCTCTCATGCCTAACGCCTTTCTTGCCTGATTTCTCTCTACATTTGTCTGCTGTCCCCTCTAAGTTCTATCTTAATTCTCTCATATTAGTTCTGCCCCATCTAGGTTCTCATCCATTTAGTTCTTTCCCATTTTAGCTTTCCTCTCATCTCCTTCTTTCTCATCTTGTTTTTCCTCATCTTGTTCTTTCCCATATGGTTCTTCCTCATCTTCCATCTCATTCCTCTAGTACTCTCTTCTAGCCCTTCAATATAGTTCCTCTCCAGTTTTTACCCATCTTGTTCTTCCATTCTCTTTTCTGTCTTGTCCTCAAGTTCTCTCTTCAAAATCCTCCTCTGCATCTCCTTATACCCCTCAGTTCTTCATCCCCAAGTTCTCTAGGGTATTCAGTTATAAACCCAAGCAATAGCAATCCTCCCCCTCCAGCCAGGTCACCAGGCTTGAATTCCTACAGGGTCATAAAGGCAGGTAAGAATTTTCCTCAGGCAGTGACTGTCAGGCTTTCTTTTACAACCCAAAAGGGGAGTGGTTAAAGGAGGAGTTCAACTGAGAGCTAATGATTGGTTAGTATATCAGAAAAAGGGAATTTGTGTGCTCAAACTACATTCCTAGAAGTAGCTAGGTAAGAAGTTAGGAGTCTATAATCTTAGTAAGGCTGTATAAGAAGGAGGTCTCACCTTAAATTGCACAAGAAATAAAGCTATCTGCCTGACCTAGGAGAAAGGTATTGTTTCCATAAGGGTGTTATCTTAGTTCAGGAGATCATTTGGCCTTGGATGCTTGATAGATATTTTAGATAAATATACTGTTAGGAGTTCTTGGAAGCACACAAGAAAATAATTTTAGGAACCAGCTAATATATATATACAAAAGCTAAAATATCACCAAGACTTCTTAAGCCATGGCTTCACCTTCAGAAAAGTCCTTGACTTTTCCCAGTAGTAGCTTTTGTGATACTAGCTGAATCCCATTACATTTTGGGACTGGGGGGTGAGAGAGATTTGTTCTGACTGTGGGCCAGGCAGGAAAACTCTAGCTACAAATGGCGCCTAACGGGTTGGCAAGAGTTTCCATCTAAAACCTGAGAAACAAGATTATAAAACTGAGCTAAAAACAGCTTTCTAGTTAGCTCTCTCAAGTTAGAGGCAGCCTGTGGACTTGAGCTACTATGGCGGGTTCCTTGCATGCATGGTTGACCGGCAGTATGGTGGGAATGAGGCATCTACAAGCGGCACATTACGCTGTGTGATGGATTTAGTCTTTGTGAGTACAAAAAAAAGTTTTTGGGCTACACCCTTCTTTGATAGAAGCATAGAACCACTGTTTCTAAGAGTTGATGGCTCCCAGAGCTGGCGGTAAATGTACCATCGCCATTTTGGGAAGAAATATATACAGTTATATAAAAAAATATTTTTTTAAAAATAAAGTTTTTAAAGAGACAATAAAGGTAGTATAAAAATAAGTCATGTAAAGATGGGTATTACGCAGAGAATCTGGATTGTGTTGTTCTTGGGATTTTTAACTGCAGAAAAACATTTGATCATAAAAGCTGTTGAGTTAAGCCAATATGTATATTTTAAAAGTACTTTGACTTCAAAATTTGTATGTAAGGATATGCTTTGGAAGGAGGCTCTGCTTTTCTTTCCACAGAAAGCCTGAGGCTATGGATTTTTTCCAGATTAAGATACACCAGTTTTGACCAGCCAAGACCCCCTGAAAGGTCTCCAATGACACCATTGCCCAGATGATCCAATATCCAGAACCATTTCAAGGCAACTGCTCAGACAATACACCCTCATGGACTACTCTATAATCTTAAAATTTTCTTTGTGTCCCCATAAGATACAGCGCCTCCCTCCAGCAGGAAGTAGTAAGAGAAGCTATACCCAAATTCCCAAATATAACAAGCTGGCTTTGGAGATGGAATTGGCTCACTCCTTCTCTAAACCCAAGCATATTGCTAAAAAAAAAAAAAAAGGTTAAGAGATTCTTCTATCCCATATCAAAAGAGCCCTCTGGTGTGGGACAGAATATTTTTATTTAAAACAGGTTGATTATAAATGCAGTCTCTTTCTAAAGAAGAAAAGGGGATATGATATAGATATAATAGGATGAAAGGGTAGATTAATGAACCTACTTTTAAAGAGTAACAATTTGTTTAGAAATGTTTTACATTGCTATGGATTTTAGTTTATTGATACAAGTTTAAACTTAATTTTGTTATATTGTATATATTATTTCTACTTTCATGGTAGGTATTATATTTATGTAACTCATTTAAATTTTAATGGATAATTAAAAAATACAGATTAATAGTCTTCTATGATAGTCAAACTTGTAGCCATATTAGTTAAGTTTTCTAGGTATAAATAGATATATTTCAGGCAGATAGGTAATCTTCAAACACTTTAAAGACCTACAGAATATGGTATTTAAAATGTTTTTAAAAATTTAGACTTTTTGGACAATGAGACATGTTTGCTCCTAGCAGCACTGATTTACTTCAGAGAGGAGGATGGGCATCGAAGACACTACATATGTAGTTTATCTTCTTCTTGGCAAAAATAGCCATTTGGGCAAGAGACTGTTCTTGCCTGGACTGCTTGATCGACTGGATGTGCAGGACTCATAGAAAGATGACCACTGAACTTTGCTTGGCAAAATGGTCCTTCAGGTTCCTGCTTTGCAGAGGAAACTGCTAGACATTCTACAGGACACAGAGAAAAGTGAATGAGAGACTCTAGGGCTGTGGGCTGAAGACAGACACCCCAACTTTACAGAAAAACATTAGGTGACTGTCCAGGCTTCCAGCTGCCTCTGTCTACTGTCGTAAGACTCCCCAAAGTTGCTTGTGTCCTTCTTTTGTTTCTCAGATAATATTAGATCCTTCTGGGGCCTTTGATGTAGTTGAAGACTAGATTGTTATAATTTCCTTAGTTATGATAAAAGATAAGTTAGATATAAAACCTTAGACTCACAAATATAGGATAGATATCTTCTTTAATTTTGCCAAATACAAATAGACTAGATATTATAAATAGACTAGATATTGTAACTGTAATTCTTGCTAGATAACTGTTTTGTTATATGTAATTTTACTATGTGAAAGTTAAAATCTTCATTTAAAAAAAAAGAAAAGAGGAAGTGCTGTGAATATTGCTCTGTATAAATAAAATGCTGATTGGCCAGTAGTTGGGCAGGAAGTACAGGCAGGACAAGCAGAGAAGAGAATTCTGGGAAGTGGAAGGCTGAGGCAGAGAGATGCTGCCAGCCGCTGTGAGGAAAAGCAACATATTAAGATACTGCTAAGCCACAAGCCACGTGGCAACTTATAGATGAATAGAAATGGGTTAATTTAAGATATAAGAACAGTTAGCAAGAAGCCTGCCATGGCCATCCAGTTTGTAAGCAATATAAGTCTCTGTGTGTTTACTTGGTTGGGTCTGAGCGGCTGTGGGACTGGTGGGTGAGAGAGATTTGTCCTGACTGTGGGCCAGGCAGGAAAACTCTAGCTACAAACAACAAATATACTGAAAGCAAGAGAATTCAATTTATAAAGAGAACTGATGGGATTCTTCCTCATATTGTATGAGGAACACCCACTTCTGGAGCCCCTACATTTTATACTGATGCAAACAAATCAGGAAAGGCAGGTTATAAATTAGAAAATTTAAGTAAAGTGGCTCAAAGCCCTTATTATTCTGTCCAAAAGTCAGAATTAGATGCTATTCTCATGGCATTAATGGTGTTTACAGAACCTCTTAACATAGTTACTGATTCTCAATATGCAGAAAGAGTTGTTTTGCAGTCAAATATGTATAACCACAATGTTGCAGAGGAACCTTGGATGACTCTCCAGGCAGCCAGCTGTTCCTGTTCTCATATTTTTTGGAAGTCATTGGTTTGCACTTCCTGCTTACTCAGGTAATATTATTTCCTTCTCAGGTCTCTGATAGAGTTGAAGACTTTATAGTTACAGCTATAGTTTTCCATGTTACCTGATTCGGAAAAGAAATTCACTAAGGAGGTGTAAAATCAGTAGGGTTGAGAGACATTAAAAGATAGTTTTGGTAATGCAAGTTAGAATAGAAAGTGAATTAGGTGCAACATTTTGGAGTCACCAAAATAGGATCAGTACTAGAGTATTTTCTCAATACATCAAATATTTATGGACTAGACATTGTTGATATATTTATGCCTGTATATATTTCATATATTTATTATACTTATTGTATATAGTTTGCATATATTAGTTATAACCTTTTTATTTTAGACAAAAAGGGGGAAATGTGGTGATATTTTGTTTGTACTCTAACAAATAAAGCTTGCCTTCAGGTCAGAGGTAGAGCTAACTATTAGTTAACCAGAGAGGTCTGGAGGTCTGTATGGCCAGGAGACAGGAAGTGATATGGCAGGTCGGAGAGAGAATCCCCTTTTCGGTCTGAGGAGCTGTGGAGGTAAAAGGTGACTTTGGGTGACCCTTTACTTCTCTGATCTTTCAGCATTTACCCTGATATCTGGCTCCAGGTTCTTATTAAGACCAATCTGAATTAGCACTACAGTATTTCTTTTCTCAAGGCTGATGGTACATATGGGAAAATGGAGGGCTGACAGGAGATGCATGTAGATGATTCCCAGGGAAGGGTCTATGATAAATGTCTCTACATAATTCCCCAGAGCTAAGCACTTCTGGGGATGCTTGCACATCAGAGAACAAGGATGGGCCATGTTGGGGAGGACTAGAGCTGAATGTCCTTTGTGATTCTCAGAATGAGGTAAGGTGAGGCCTCTGTGACATCACAGGGTTAATCCCCACCCTACTACAGCAGCAGTCTTGGTCTGAGGCGCAACTCAGTGTCCACAGAGCAGGACTGGGAGTCAAAGCTTGCCCATGTGTCTGGGTAAGTTTGGGCTGTTTTCTGGGATGGACACTACCCAAAATTAATTTGAGTGACTCACTCAGTGGGAGGCACTTCTACATTGGGGTTTTAAATGGGGAGACCAAAACATAATGAAGTACTTGAAATGTCTCTTAGTTAGAATAGCTCATCCTAAGAAGAGCTAGAAACAGCAGGGATCAGGGGTCCCATAGCAGTGGGAATGGCCACTCAAGTATTTAGGGAGAGAAAGCCCTGGACTCACCAGGGAGAGGGGTCTTGGAATGAAGCCACGTAGATATGTCTGGATCAGGACTCCAGCCTCCAGCCTAGGTAAGGAAGGATGGAAGGTTCCTGTTTACATGCCTCAAAATTACCATCATTCATAGTTTGTCCAGGGATGGTAGAGAAAGTCTATGGGGTACTGATGTCTGAGCTTCCCTGGCAGTAGCAATCTTTTCATTTGTACTCAGATGGCTGACAAATATAGGAACAAACTCAATGTCACTATCACAGGAACACCATGGCTGCACTCTCCCCTCAAATTCTGTACTTATATACATATTTTTGCTTAGTATGTATGTTATTGGCGTGTGCTCCTGTCTGAAAGTTCACATTCACGTGTGAAAGTGCGTGTAGATGATACTGAATAATGTCATATGTCCTCCTCTACCATATATGACACAGGGTAAATTTATGCTCAGCCTTTGTTAATAAGACGGTATCATCACATGTACAACAGTCCACTTGCTAGGACAGTGTGCTCATCAGAGTGTGGAAAAGCATGATCACACTTCATGCTAAACTCATGTACATAGGAAAAAGCTGGAGAGAGGTGTGATCAGGCCTCTGTTACCTCATATAATAGCTCGCTGCCATGGTAAAGGCTGTGGTCTCCATGGGAGGGGACTCTACTGGGGTATGCTAGGATTCAGATGGAACTGCGGGTGTGGATGAAAATTTGGGCTGAGTGGTGGGAGAAATCCACACAGGATTTTTGGGATGAAGGCCTAATTTCAACTCTTTGTGCTATTCTATGAGGTGGGGGTTAAAAGAGGTGTGGGACACCGTGTGGTCCTTGAAGTGACCTTTAACAGGACCTGTGCTACAGCAGTAGGAAAAGTTGCAGTAAGTATCAGCAGATGTGTTCCAAGGATTAGTCAAACAAGGACTCAAGAAGATCACAGCCACTATTCACCAGAGAATGAGGTCACAGGATGACCCCAGCCTGTACCATGTGAAAAGACTTCAGGTTACAGACGGGTAGGATACAGCTCTGTTGTTGTGCCCCATGCCAGGGACAGCTGTCCTTTATGACAGCCCATAGTGTCCAGGCATGCCAGTTCTTTTCTTCTACTAACCTCCACCTGTATTTGTCAGAAAAGGTGACAGCAGCTGAGGCAGAGCCAGCCTCCATGTCAGGACTCCAGTTTCCAAACTGCATCAGGATAGAGCTCTGCTGTTACACTGTTCTCCAGTGAGAGACATTCTCAGAGGTCACTGACTACTATAGAGAGCCAGGCTGGGAAATCTTATGACATTCTCAGAGGTCCTTGACTATTATGGGAGAGCCAGGTTGGGAAATTGCATGACAGTCTGCTTTCAGTGCCTTCCTCCTTCAAGCTGGATTGAATGGTGGCGAAGGGACAGGTTGAAGGCCAAATTTACCACAGGATCCTACAGATGGCGCACTCCAAGTCTCTTGACTAGAGAAACTTGCTGATAAACTACATCAGCAGAAGTGATAGATGAAGATTGGAACACTGCACACTGGGGCAGAGCATGACACATCCCCATGGCCTTGCTCTTCCCAGGGGTGGTGATCCCTGCAGGAGAAGAACACCTGGTTGTGAGTCTGTTCCCCAGAAATGGTCATAAGGGAAGCTCTTTGGTACTCCCCTTAATACCAGTCCAAAAGACACCCATGTGCTTGGACAGCCTTTGTGCTTCCCAAACAGAGTGACGCTTGGCCTCTGTGACCTCACATGAGGGTCACTGTCATGGTTATGGCTGTGACTTAGTTCTGAGGGCAGCAGAGTCCTTTATAGTGGACTAGGATTTACACCCAGGAGAAGGTGGGTAGGGATCCATTTCAGGTAAATGACTGCAGAAAGTTGTTTGGGTGAAAAATGTGAGCTCACACCAGTGTGTATACATGCAGGGGGCATGATAGGAAAAGGGTGACTAAGTCACAATTCCGTATCATGGGTTTTGGATATACAAGACAGATGTGATCTTAAGAAGAGTTGCATTAGAAAGGAGCAGAGAGACACCATCACTGAGCATGGCTATACTTGATATGCAAGGAGAGGACACCATCCCCACACGGGAAAGAGGCCTTGTGAAGATCTGCACAGGTTCCAATGCATTAAGCAAGACATCCTCTAGACACACGAAGGACTAAACTCTGTTGTTTCCTTTGACTCCTTGTGATATTCCATCATGGGGTCTGATCATAGAGTGGGATAAAAGACTGCATGACCCCTTGTTGGGACTCTCTTAGCTCTCTCTATTAGAAGCAATAATCTTCCCACATGAGCTCATCAAGCCTCTCCACCACAGGCAGAGGCAGATATACATCAGGAAAGATTTCCCAACCACCTTCTCTCCTACATATTTGATGTATTTGTATAATGTGTAATTTATTTCATCTGGACTGTATGCTATTTGTCTCTGTGTTCCTAAGGGACAGGTCAATGATGGTTTGGTTACATTTGACATGACAGAAAAGGACACCAAGTATTTTCCTTTGTCAATATCAACCTGTCTATTTTTATTTTCAGAAAAACTGACCATAGACAAAGGCTAATGACAATGTAGTTTTGAGCACACATGGACTCCACTGCCTGAAGCCTGAAGAGAAAAACAGGTACAGGACCATCCAATGAGGCAATGTACCCAGGCTAAAATCTGAACACTAAAAAGCCAATGTATACCTACTGAAAGTAGTGAAGGCCAAATATGGACCCTGAGAATCCTGAGCTAAAGGTTGACATGAAAGTACCCCAGGTATAAGCATAAACCTAAAGATACATGATGCATGAACCTCAAGTAAGAGGTGTTTCCTGGTCTACCATTGACCATTGTCCTGCCAAGGCCCAAATGTAGAAGAGAAGTGTGACTGGGACAAATCCTGCATTGAAAGAGACCTGCACAAAAAAAAAATTGAGTGGGCTAAAAGTAGAGTCTAAAGAAGCCCAGGCCCAAATCAAGAATAGATTGGGCCCCTGGGCCAATCCCTGAGTATGAAAAGGTCAGTCCTACAGACAGATAATATATTGACATGGGTAAATTATTCAAATAATAGAGGCCCAGGCCAGTCCAAGAAGAGGGATGTGCCTGGGCCAAACTCTGACCCTGTAGAAGCCCAGGTCCAAAGCAAGAAGAAATATGGGCCTGGGCTAATAGCTTACCCTGAAGAAGCCCAGGCCCAAAGCAAGAAGAGCTAAGGGCCTGGGCTAATGCTACACCCTTAAGAATCCCAGACCCAAAGCAAGAAGAGATGTGGGCCTGGGCCATTCCCTGAAACTTAAGATGCCTGGGCCCAGAAAGAGATGATATATGGGCCTGGGACAATCCCAAAAATGATAGAGGCCCAGGTTAAACCACAAAAGTAATATGCCTGGGCTAAACCCTAACCCTGAAGAAGCCTGGGCCCAAACCAAGAGGAGTTGTGAGCCTGGGTCAACACCTGAAATGACAGAGGCCTAGGAAAAACCAAGAAATGGAGTGAGTGCAACCAAATTCAACCCCTGATTCTCAGTACAATTAGTAAAGTAAAATCATTCTGGGTTAACCCCTCACCAAAGAGATCTGGGCCCAAACAAAGAGCACTGTGCCCACACCACATCTAAAGTGAAAAACATTGTGGTTAAGAGTATATACCATGAGGCTCTCTGATCCAAGGCCTTAGTTTCAATTGGTATACTACAACCAAGTAGACATATGCCGGCTTGAACATCGATAACGTTGGACTTGCCCACAATACTTTCTGTACTAATGGCTGATATAAATGGACAACCTGAGTATTTAATATGTGCTTCTAACACATATACTTCATTCAATCCAGGCAACATCCTCAACATGTGAGCAAGGAAGATACCCTCACCATAATACAACCAGGGCTCACTAAATAACCTATCAGTGTAGACAGTGTAGATCAGATGTAGACATCAATGTAGACCAAAAAAGGTGTTATGCTTCACCCTGTAGCTGTCTGACACAAGAACTTACCTTGACTTAGATTGATTTTTTATTTTTTTTGGAAACAAATATTTCTTGAATGTACCTGTAAGGAAGAATATTGGACTAATCATAGTTGGTCTTGTTCTGACTAACATTTGGACACATCAAATCCTCGAAGAACCAGATCTTTATGATCACCTGATTATTAACACAGGTGCAAGGACTTATACAGACCTCAAAGGAACCCGGCTGCTCCTTGAGCCCCCAAAGTCTGGGCTAATATCATCATCAAGGGTGTGTGGACCATACCTTCTTTCTATGCAATCTAGGACAAAATCCTACCACAAAGGAGTGATACCTTAAAGGGACCAAACCTCACCTTAATGACCAAAGGAAATGGACATACCCACGACCCTGACCTGGTCTGACCACCAGGCATTACCTTCATGCTAGTTTATTTTGTAGGATATCAGTGGGAACTCGGGGCTGTTTGACCACCAAGAACCTTGGGTCAAATTTCAATTGTGTTTGGGCCACACCCACTCTTCTTCCAACCCAGGCTCCATTAACAATACAGGGGAGCCAGGACCAAATGACATCCTTGACTGTGTCTGAGCCACAAATGACCATCAACCCATGTGGGCAGATCTTGTACTTAGGGGTGTGTGGGCCGCACCCTTATTTCAAGTCTGACCACATGCTGTCTGGACTCCAAGAAATACAGGAGAAGTTAATGTGAGTGTGAGTTAGCCCGCAAGAAACCCTCCAACAAGAATGGACCCACTGTACTAACAAAAGCATTGATGGTTTAATCATTGAATTTCCACATATTACCTTCAAGATGTATAGACTACGCAGCTAAGGCAACCATGCTCAAATGAGGGAGTCAAGACTACCTCACAGCCTTCACGACCATCTGGGTCACATTTGAATATCAAATAACAGGCACACATTGGGATAGAGGGTGTGTGGGCCGCACCCAGGAATCCCTTGTGCTCAGGTTTTGTCAGGATTACAACAGATCAAGGACAGCACTTTGATGTCAAGTGTGACTTAGAACACATAGTACTCCAGGAAGGTTGGACACATTTTAACACCATGGGATGGTGGTCTGCAGAATGACATCATAGAAAAATACCATAAAGTGATATCGATGGGATCCTGCCAGCCAATCAATATCAGTGTGAGCTGGGGGCTAACTTACCACCAAGAAGCCTGGGTCAAAATTAACTTTGAGTGTTGTGGACCTCACCTCTCTCCATCAAACTCAAGAGATAAGCTTAACTAGGAGGATCCAGGACCACAAAACATGGCCTTCATGATGTCTGGGTCACACCAGAGAAACAACCGGGGCAGACTTTACCATGATGGGTGTGTGGGCCGCACCCAAGTGTCATGATTTGTCCAGCCACTATCTTGTCTACAAGAGATCAGGACAAGATGATCTCATGTGTGACTTAGCCAACACCAAGAACTCACAAGAAATTGGAACAACCACAACAACCAGCATTAGTGGTCTGCTATGTGACTTTAGCCTCATGAACTTCACAAACCTCACAAGACTATGGTCCAAACCCTCTTAGTCTGACATCCCAGGTTCCCTTCCCATGCCCTATTGACCTTGGTTCTCAACCTGACCTGATTAGAAACACCAAGTAACCCACTGGGTTAAGAATGTGATGGAACACTAGTCTAGACATAACCTTAATGCTAATGAGCAATGGGAAACCTTGAAGGCCCTCCTCTGGAGGCATGTTTTTGGCATGCTCACTGTCTGGAAGTAGTTACTGAGGATTCCTTAAACTCTCACCAGAGCCTGCCTAAAGGAAGATGGAATTATACAGTGATTTCTATAAATCTCTGCCTTCATCTTCTGTATAGAAAATAGTTCTGAAGATGTGTAGTCTTATATTATTCTTATTGTGCATTTCATGCCCTAGCCTTATGTATATAGTATTCAATAAATGTGAGGTTCATCTGGAACCATGGTTTATCCTGGAATGCTTATTTTGGCCCTTTCCCTATACTTCTAACAAAAGGTTTTCAACCTTTGGATTGAAGATTTAAAGAACAGGCTGTGATGGTCATTCACAAACAGTAAGTGTGGGTAGCTAGCACATCTCTTTCTCATCTGCTGTGTCCATGTATACAACACATATCTGAATTCTCAGACCTCATCCTGAAGATCACTGCACCTACGTCTATGCTTTATATCTTTAAGCTGGAGTCTCCCAAGGAAAACTAAAGAAAAGGTCCAAGTAGTCATGAAATAACTGTAATAAATTTTTCTAATGGGAGAAACTGCTACCCACTCCTTCTAGCTCCAAAATCAGATTAGCACCAATTTCTAGAGAGTTGCTGATGATGGGCTAAAAGGCAGAGAAGGAACAAAGGTTCTATGTGGGTCACAGGGCACTGGAAAGTGTTTTCCAGTGAGACTCCACATGAGGATGAATGCACTCCCAGTGAAATCCCATGCATGAGCTTTAGCACAGTCAGGTACAGATTCATGTTAAAGGAACAGTGAAATATGCTGTGCTCCTTCAATTAGAGGAACTAGAGGCTGACATATTGCAACTCTAGACTTGTCCCTGATGATCTTGTGAAGTTTAGGTGTCAGACTTGTTGGCGTGTTTACTATCCAGCCCCATACACCTCTGCTTCCCTCCCTGTGGTCTTTGGTTAATATATATTCTTTCCATTGCCCCAGGGACTTTGCAAGATTTCTGCGGAAAACATCCTATGGCTTTCACTGTCTTGTCCATCAATGTCCCTTCCTTATAGTTGGACATCCATGGTCACAGGGCTCCTTCTTCTCATCCAGGTCTGATTCACTCTGTTCCCCATGCAAACATCCTTTTCCTTCAGAGATATGAGGGTTCATCAGACTATATAAAAAGAAAGGCCATAGATCTTATGTTTTGCTGGCTTTCGCTGTAACTTTCAAATGACATTCTAAGGAGGTCTGAACCTTTCTGCTTCCACTCCTGAAAAGAAGCTAGAAGACTCAATGCAGTATACTTGGGGCAGCATCAGAGGGAGGGGTGTTTAAACCTCAGTGGGTTAGAAACAGGACCGCCTTTCCAGGGATGGCATCATCTTTCCCAAGGATAATTGGGTCACCTTAACCAAGATTTTATATCATTGCTTGTTTATTCACCTTTGATGGATCCATTTGGGGATTCAGAAATGGTGAGGAACATCATCAGGGATCCTTGGTGACTGTACATGTTGGTCCTACCACTAAATGTGTATTTTAAGTATGAGCTCAAAGCTAACACAAAGGTACACCCGACTAAACCCTGAAATCAAGGAAACCTGGATGAAACCTAAACGAGAGAACCCCAGGACAAAGCCTGATAGGAAAGAGCCCTGTCAAAATACGAACCCATAGCAGATGAGGACACACTCTAAATCTTAGAAGTCAGGGCTCAAACACTGTCTCTATAATCCCTGAACAAACCAAGTCCCCATAAGAGACAAAAATGTATCCTGAACCTAACAATTCCAAGCCAAATCCTCAAACACAAAGACCCTGGCATGAGAAAATTCTCTTGGATTGCTGGGATGGGAGTCCAAGAGACTCCCAAAACCAATAAGGTAATGCTACTTCCCTTGGTCACTTCCCAAAAATCGAAGGCAAGACCCTATTTCTGAAAATGCCAATATCTTGGGACATGGGATACTAGAGAATTTGGGGGTGGATGTCACACTAAAACCTCCTCCATGAGGACTAGCTTTTTTTTCTTTTTCCTTTTTCTTTTTTTTTTTTTTGAGACAGTGTTTCTCCATGTAGTTTTGGTGCCTGTCCTGGATCTCACCCTGTAGACCGGGCTGGCCTTGAACTCATAGAGATATGCCTGGCTCTGCCTCCCTAGTGCTGGGATTAAAGCGTGTGCTACCACTGCCCTGCAAGGACTAGCTTTAATCCTGGCAAGTGCTATAGTAAGTATAGCTTCTGCAAGGACCAGAAGCATTCAGCAGTGATTAACATATTAACCACAAAACGACCAACATGGCCGTGTGTCCCAAAGGATGCAACACTGGCACTCATACATGACAAATTTTTGTCTGTATGATAGGACTTAAAAAGGCTTGTTCAACAGGAGGGATATACTGTCTATTACTGTATTACTGGAATCCTAGCCAATTACCCATGGCTACTGAAGTCACTGATCTTATGGCAGAGCCTATTATTATCACTTTACTAAACCATTGTAGCTCCTGACTAAATCCTCCATATTTGTCTGAATAGCCACAGGGTGAGTATCTCCTAGAAATGGTGTGGAACATGGACCCAAGAAACCACAACAATATGGCTGCCTAAAGGAGACCTAAACAAGGACAATGGCATTGAATATCTTAGTGTGGATGGGAGAAACCTCATGGGGACTCATCCCCAGACAAAGAGCTAAAGGCAACTAAGCACTCCTGAGAGAGGAATAATTGGTCTTTCCAGGAGATGAGGAGCCATAACTGACTACCCAATACCTAGTGTTCAGACCTGAAAACATACACATGCAAGCATTACTGAGCAGAATCGGCACATTGTTGACATACATTTATGGAATTTTGATTGATAAATAGCAATTCTAAATAAAAAGAGCCCATGAATTTGAGAGGCAGTGAAAGAATTCAAATGGTAAGAGAGAGAAAAGGAGTATGAAAAGGGTGTGATTTTATTTTCATTTTAAAAATGGTAAAATAATTTTTGAATTATTTAATGGAAGTCTTAGGCTGGGTTCAATAATCAATATTATATTTATGCAATGACACATATTTCGTGTTTGCCTATTTTGGTTGGACACTTCTGCATTACCCCTAGATCTCTCTCCTCACAAGGAGTCACAATCACAGACATTACAGTATCATGTTGGACATGCCCATGGTGACATGGAGCCCATATTTTGAACCTTTAAATGAGCTGACATCCCAGGGTATAATGCTCTATTCTCTCCTACAACCCCACTCCACCCACACATTTCCTCAAGCTCCATCTCTCAATTAAATCCACCCCTACTATGCTGTCCTCATCTGGAAGGAAAACAATACCAAAGAGAGGACTGCAAGCATGCTCACTTCTCACTGGAGCAGCAAAAATCTGATTGGCCTTTTGTTTCAGACTTATACAGGTATTTGAGTGTGTCAGACCCCAGAAAGTCAACAATTATCCTATGAATATATTTTGTAAAATTTCCTATACATGTTAGATATACATGTAACTATTTTCCCACAACTCAAACGCACATACAATGCTTTTTCTTATCTACATACTTAATAAAACATTTTTCACTTTTTATACAAATTATGTGGATACTTGGTCCACATCAGAACGAAAGCTTTTGAGGTGTATGTAATTAACTGTGGAAAAATCAATGAAATGAGACACTTTGGCTAGATCAAAGAATGCCTATATTATTGCACATTATGCGCCAACTAGGACCCTGAGTGCTCAAACAATAGCAGACTTAACATGTTTTCAATATTTAACACATATAACTGTTCAATGAATCATTATTTCATCCATTTGTAATATCTGGTTTGACTTTTGAGACCAGATTTTAGTACATAGGCCATCCTGGCCTTCAGCTCACATTGCTCCTCTTGTCTCTGTCTCTCAAGTGATGAGATTCAGGGACCACCATGCCTGGCTCCATTCCTGACATCTGCAATAAGAGCCACATCTATAGACAGGAGCACACTGACATGCAAGGCATGCGTTCTTGACACCAGATCTCAATGTTCTGCAATGACAGGGAGGATCAAGAACAAACGGAATATGCATCAGTACATCAGAAACCAAGGACGTCTGCCAACCTACCAAAAGGTTACACCGATGAGTTTTACTTATGTTGGCCACTGAAGAGACAGGTCAAACAGCAAGAATACTCAATAAAATTTCATTTAAAAGTTAATTCAAATTAATAGCTTATGAGGCTCTACCTTATACATGAAATAGCCCCAAAAAGCATTCTGTAGACTGGACTCCTGACAGGGAACCAGGTAGGCAAACTACAGATCTTCATCTGTCCCTGTGTTCCTCTAGATCCAATATCTCAATCTCATCACCACAGCTCTGCTATAAAACACCTGCTTCCCTTTTCCCTGTCCCCTGCCTTCATCTACTGTGGTTCTAACAGTCCTCTCCTCTAACCTGATTTCCCCCATTTGTTTCTTTGTCTCAGCCCTGACTCCAGCAGGCACCCCTGACAACCCAAAGGCCACTCCTCCTGGAGAAGCAGATAGGCTTACAGCAGATCCTCTCCTCTCCTCCTGCTCTTCCAGTCCCAATCTCCCAGTTTCTTTCTGGAATCTATAGCAAAACACCTGCTGTGGGTCCCCTTCCCTCTATGACCCCATCCATAATGGAACAAACATCTCCATCTCCCTTCTACCAGCATATCCCACTATCCCAGTTTCTCTATTTGCAACTGTTATGATGACATAAGTGACCCTAAAAATGCCACTGGGGAACTCCTACAGCTGATAAACACCTCCAGCAAAGTGGTTGGATACAAGATTAATTGAATAAAATCTGTAGCTCCTCCTATATATAAATGAAAAATGGGCTGAGAAACAAATTGGGGAAACAACACCCTTCACAATAGCCACAACTAATATAAATATCTTGGGTTAACTCTAACGAAGCAAGTGAAAGACCTGTATGACAAGAACGTCAAGTCTTTGAAGAAGGAAATTGAAGACAGAAAGATCTCCCATGCTCACAGATTGATAGGATTAACATAGTAAAAATGGCCATCTTACCAAAAGCAATCTACAGATTCAATGCAATACCCATTAAAACCCATACAATTTTTTTTACAGACCTTGAAAGAATAGTATTCAACTTCATGTGGAAAAACAAAAACCCAAGCTGGCTAAAAGAATTCTGTGTAATAAAAGAACTTCCAGAGCTATAGTAATGAAAACAGCATAGTATTGGAATTAACATAGACAGGTGGATCAATGGAATTGAATTGAAG